ATTTCATTTCGTTGGGAAGCTAGACGGACATCGCTTAATCGACATAGAATTTTATGCTGATTAAGAATATATATACTTTGGGTGTATATATATATATACTAGCTGAACCCGGTGCGCTTCGCTACCCCTTTTGATTTTATATGCATTCAAAATTTTATTTACGAATATATGTTGGTTAAAAAAAAAAAACAAATTTAAAAATTTAAAAAAAAAACTATTGCACTACTTTAATGCGTAAATAACCAAAACCATTAGAAAAGCAGTAACATGACATACATACACGAAGTGTTTGTTCTTCGGATTTATTTATTTCATAGCAAATACCAAGCGTGCAGTAAACTGCAATTTTTTCAAGTTGAGTGGCATTTCTATTGCAATTAGTGAATTCGGGATAGTAACATACTTCGCCGTAATAAGCGAATTTCAAATAAGTTGTTGTGTTGTCTTTCAGTGTTAGCCTAAGGCGTTGTGGGTCAATGGTTCTTATTAAAATCATATCCCAATCTGATCCCATTTAAATATAATTTAAAAAAAATTACTTTTACACCAAACTCCGCTACACCTTTCATATTTCATTGAAATTGGTGCGTCAAATATGTGAAATCGGCCGAGAATATATATATGGGAGCCAAATTTAAATCTTAACTAATTTCCAATTAATTTATCACATTTATTATTATAACCAAATTCCGCCACACATTCTGAATTTCATTGGAATCGGTCATATATATAGTGTTTGGTGCATAATATGTATGAAATCGGCCGAAATATATATGTTAGCTATATCCAAACCTCAACTGATTTCAATATAATTTGGCAAATTTTTGCTGGTGCCAGATTTTGTCTCTCTCTCTGGGTGCATCAAATATTTGAAATCGGCTAAGTATATATATGGGAGCTATAATCAAATCTGAGCGTATTTGAATATAATTTGTCAAATTTATTTTTATACCAAATTTAGCCACTCATGCCGAATTTCGTTGGAATCAAAAATACGTATCGTGTTTTGTGCATCAAATATGTGAAATCGGCGGAAAATATATATGGGAGCTATATCGAAATCTGAACCGATTTTAATATAATTTGACTAATTTATTTTCTAATCAAAATCCCGTTACATATTCCAAATTTCTTTGGAATCGAACATACATATCGTGTATGGTGCATAAAATACATGAAATCGGTCGAAAATATATATGAGACCTATATTCAAATCTGAACCGATTTTAATATAATTTGACGAATGAATATTTGTTTTAATTTCCGCTACACATTCCAAATTTCATTGAAAATAGAGATACATAGCGTGTTTGGTGCATCAAATACATGAAATCGGTCGAAAATATATATATGGGAGCTATATCCAAATCTGAACCGATTTCAATTTAATTTGACAAATTCATTTTGGCTCCCAATTCCGTTACTTATTTTAAATTTCATTACAATTGGAAATACATATCGTGTTTGGTCTACGAAATACATGAAATCGGCCGAAAATGTATATGGGAGCTATATCCAAATCTGAACCGATTTCAATATAATTTGGGAAATCAATTTTTTAGATAAAATCTATCACACGTTTCAAATGTCATTGAAATTGGGGATACATAGCGTGTTTGGTGCATCAAATGCTTGAAATCGGCCGATAATATATATGGGAGCTATATCCAAATCTGAACCGATTTCAATATAATTTGACAAATTTATTTTCGGATTAAATCCCGTCACACATTCCAAATTTCATTGGAATCGAACATTCATATTGTATTTGAGGCATCAAATGAACGAAATCGGTCGAAAATATATATGGGAGCTATATCCAAATCTGAACCGATTACAATATAATTTGGCAAACTTATTTTTGTTCCAAATTCCGTTACGTATTCCAAATTTGGAAACTGTATCTTCAACCAATCAATAGATATGTGCATATAAAATCAAAATTTTTGGGAGGTACCTCCGATTCTGATGCTATATCTCCAGTTCCAAGTGGAAATTCAAAAATGTATATAGCCTATGTTACTTTCAGGCGATGTTGCAGTATATATGGAAATTTTCAGGAAAATCTATTCAGCGGTTTTCGAGTCCATAATTTACAAACAAACAAACAAACCAACAAACAAACAAACAAACATACAAACATTTTCCTCTTTTATAGATATAGATATATATATATATAAATATATATATATATATATATATATATATATATATATATATATATATATATATATATATATATATACTAGCTGGCCCGGTCCGCGTTGCCGGCCCGAAGTTCTAGTCTGTAATGCAAATTTTAAAGGTGAACAAATTTTAATATAAATATTGATCCGACTAAAAAGAAATAAATACCTATGGAAGGAGGGCAAAATAATTTCTGAATAGTCAAAGTTAATAACGCTTTTACACCCATTACCATAGCACCTCAAATTGCGCATTAGCGTCCCCAAAAAGTCTATGTTCTTGTTCATAGTAAAATTCAATGTCGATTAAACAATTCCCGTGTTGTCGTCCGCCAATCGGTAAAAATCACAATAGATCGGCGGCCCTGGGGACTGTACCAAATATTTACGTATGTTGACATTTTTCTGTACAATGGTTCTCTACTCACAAAGTAGCCTAAATACAGCAAAATCGATTGGAAAATGTGGTCAAGACCCTCGAAACAGAAAAGCCAAGATGCCAAATAATAGCCAAATCAGTTGAAAAACGTTGCCACAGTCATAACTGGAATCAGGGATACATTCATATGAGGGTTATACCCAACCAATATTCTCTTGGGGGTTAAAAATTCAATAGAATACAAAATTTTCTTTTCTGACCACACATTAGATGTGAAAGTGGACTTGGGGATACTCCAAACTTTCCTGTGTGATAATTATCTGTATGATGGTGACCTACCACAGGGTAGTATAAATAAAAATTTTTAGCCAAATCAATTGATGAAGGTGGTCAAGACCAACTTTGAAAATTTCAAATAAGGGCCAAAAAAATGAAAAAGTGGCCAAGACCCCAAAAATAGCTTAAATCATAGATGGTTATATAAATATGAAATCGGGTTGTACCCTTATCCGTGAGTTATGATCGATATCAAGACCTGCAAAAGCGATTTAAGTTATCTTGAATGTTTTGAAAGAATTTCTGGAAGGATATAAATCCTTTTCATACTAAAAGTCCCATTCGCTCTACTATTTTGCACACTTTAAATTTGGTATTTTACTGATTGTACTCTCAAAGAATTTTGTATTTTGAGCTCTCATTGGACGGATTATTGTCACATGAAAGAAGAAGGTCCATGCTTTGAAATGAGCCCCATTAGTCTTTTTCGGTCATTTTTGTTTGTTTAAATGTCTGCGCATTTTCCAGCTGAACCACGATGTAGGCCCTCGAGTTGAAGGGTAGATGTCAGTTAACATCCTATTTAACACTTATTTCATTTTAAAGATCCTTACAAAGTTTGTCAATAGAATGTACTATTATTTTGTAATTCGATTCCATTGTAATTTTTTTCGATCTTTTCCCGACTTGAGAATTTTTGAGAATTCTTTTTCATGATTTTTTCTAGCGATTTTGAAAAAGTAATTATCTTTTAACTTTGGTGTGACCGCGTTAAATTATTTCGGTATCATCTATTCCGTTTCGCCACCACATAATTCGGTACTATACTTCCATGTAACCCGTCATCAATTTCAGTTCCCAAGAAATCAAGTCAATTAAATAAATTAATATTAATATTCGAATTCAAAAATAAAATATAAAAAACACTACAAATGTACATTAGAAAAAAGTAAGTCAAAATGGAAAAAAATCATGCAAAATAAAACATTACTATTGTACATTTCAAAAGTCAAAATGAAAATGTTAATATATCACATTTTTACGTGATTTTTTTTGTATATTATCCTTTTCGGATAGGAGACAATTCCGAATTTGTATGAATCATTAAAATCAGTTCAGCGGTTCTTAAGTTATAAGCGTAGTAACTAACACAACTTTCATTTATATATATAGATTAGAAGTATGCGTGGTCAGCTTCCTAGCGCCCAAATAAATTCCTGAGTTTGGAGGGAAATTCAACAGTATCTCGTGTAATAATTTTCAAACCGATATCTTCATTATCTGGCAAATATAAAGATTTTAGATAAATCAATATAGTGGGCGTAAAAGTAGGCGTGGTCAATATTTTTTTCTTTAAAAACCTAACTCGGGGTATGACGAAGGTTCGTACAAAAAAATTATGCAAATCGGTCCAGCCGTTTTCAACTGATTCCGTTACCAACAAACAACAAATGATTTTTATATATATAGATATATATATATATATATATATATATATATATATATATATATATATATATATATATATATATATATATATATATATATATATATATATATATATATATATATATATATATATATATATATATATATATATATATATATATATATATATATATATATATATATATATATATATATATATTTTTTTTAATAGAATACCTTTACCTACATTACATCTGGTGTGAATATGGACTCATCGGTCCACTTTTTCTAACTTCTCTCCCAAAAACATCCAACATTTGAAATATTTATGAGCCTCATTATTGAATTTAAAATGAGTTGAAGTTCATTTTCTCCAACATCGTGTAAGTATGAAAATGTAATGTTCCAGTACAACAGCTGAGGGTATAAATCTATCGACAAATTCCATTGATTTTGTTTTAACTGGTTTAAAATATTATGTATTTTTAATCAATATATCAAAAGATGACCTTACATCCGACATTTCCTGCACGGATAGTCTCTCGTAACTGAAAATTCTAATATCTTAAATAATACAAGTTCTTTCTAATTCATATTGGAAAAGGGACTCTGATCATTAATGCACTCACTTTATGGAATCCCAGGCAAAAAATTCAAATAGTTGTAGACGAAGTGACTAACTTTATTTGGACACCCCCTCCCCACATTGGTGCTTTTCCAACTTCACTTACCCACGCTTAGCGAACAAAAAATAATATCCAATCCAATTGATGATCATAGCCAAAATAAATATTGCTTTTTATGCAAACGACACCAATAAAATTCCAAATCGTTTCTTTAATTAACAAAATATTTTCACCAATCCTCCGCTTCTCCTTAGTAACAATTATTATTTTTGTAGCAATAAAAAATTTTTAGATTTTCACAAGGTGTTTGTTTTTCACTTAAAATCCACTAAATCGTTTGCGGTTTAATTGAAAATGTGTGTGCTTTGAGAAAAAATTTAATAACTTTTTTATGAGAATTCCGAACAAAAAAAAACTTTAATATTTTAATTTTTGCGCTTAATATTGCAACGGTATCATCGTCATAAGTGTCGTCATAAACACAAAAAATGAAATTTACACCACGACTTCATAGCAAGACTCTTTGGAGCAGAGTAGCTCAATCAACATTTTTCATTTTCCACATTATTTTTTGCACACTTTTCCACTTGGTGTTTTGTTTACACGACTTAATGCCACACTTTTTCACTTGGAGGCCCGTTTGATAAGTCGATGGTTACTTTAATCCAGGGTTTTTCTCTTCTCCACAATGTGGTCACAGTGGTAATCCTTTTGTTGTGATCACTACTTGTCTGTTTTGAAGACAACAAAAATACAAGTTTCTTTTCGTTTTGTTTATTATTTTGAATTTTTCAATTTTCCGCCGTAATTTTTTCTTTTGCTTTCTTTCGAAAATAATCCACCAGATTCATGCGTCAAGGTGTCATGTCGTTCGTTCGTATCTGCCGGTACTGCGCAAACCGCCATGCATTCCAAACAAATGTATCCAAACAACTAATTTCTGAAGTTTTGTTTACATTGGATTTCTGCTCGCATGGGTGGCAGTCAGGCACAAGCAATCCAACAACGACAACGATCGTGTTGTTTATGTTGTATGGTTGCTCGTTCGGTTGGCTGGTTGGTTGGTTGGGTGTTGTATTGTTTTGTTTTGAATTTCTTGTTTTCCTCCCTCATTGTTGAAAGTGTTGTTTGTTTTGATTGGTGATGTTACAACAGCACACAACATTTGGTTGCTACTCGGCTTGAGTGAATTGTGGTTCACAAGTATTGCAACATTGTTGAATGCTTTGTTGAAACCACTGCAGCATGTTTATATACATTGTTGAGAATACATTAAATATGTATAAAACAACATTTGGTGTCCGCTGAAATTGCAATTTTATAATTTCGAAACCAGTAAAGAATATCTAAAAGTCGGGCAGGGGCGACTTTATGATACCCTACATCCCTTTGCATATTTAGCAGAGCTTCATATAACAAATAAAAAAATTAAAAATTTAACAAATCGGATGAACAATATATATGGGAGCCACAGCCATATCTGAACCTAATTTCACCAAAATTAAAATACTTGTTTCTAGGCTCAAGTTGTCGTAAGTGGCAAATTCCAAAATTTCATTCCATTTGGGCTAATATTATACTTTTGGTGCACAATAAAAGGCAAATCGGACGAAGATATATGTGGAAGTTATATCCAAATCTGAACCGATCTCGCTAAAATTTGGAAAAGGTATTTCTGAGCTGTATTTGATATATTTCCCCAAATATCGTTGTTACAGTGTGCATATTACGGCTGCAGAAGACAAAAATGTCAAATCAGATGAACAATTTATATGGGAGCTATAGTTATATCAGAACCGATTTCTATCAAATTGGACATACCTATTTCCAGGCTTAAGTTGGTCGTATGTACCAAATTCTATCCAATTTGGATCAATATTGCACACAATACAAACCAAATTGAACGAAGATATATGATAGCTATATCTAAATTTTGACCGATTATCTCCAATTTCAATAGGGTTCGTCCTTGGGTCAAACAAATGGCTTATGCACAATTTCATCTTGATCGGGCAATAAATGTGACATGTACATGGACAGACGGACATGCATTATTTGACACAGAATGTGATTCTATGCAGATATTCATCCTATCTATATCTATAAAAGAGGAAAATGTTTGTACGTTTGTTTGTTTGTTTGTTTGTTTGTTTGTAATTTATGGACTCGAAAACTGCTGAATAGATTTTTCTGAAAATTTTCATATATACTGCAACATCGCCTGAAAGTAACATAGGCTATATAAATTTTTGAATTTCCACTTGGAACTGGAGATATAGCATCAGAATCGGAGGTACCTCCCAAAAATTTAGATTTTATATGCACATATCTATTGATCGGTTAAAGATACAGTCTCCAAATTTGGAATGTGTAACGGAATTTGGAACAAAAATAAGTTTGCTAAATTATATTGTAATCGGTTCAGATTTGGATATAGCTCCCATATATATTTTCGACCGATTTCGTTCATTTGATGCCTCAAACACAATATGAATGTTCGATTCAAATGAAATTTGGAATATGTGACGGGATTTGATCCGAAAATAAATTTGTCAAATTATATTGAAATCGGTTCAGATTTGGATATAGCTCCCATATATATTTTCGGCCGATTTCAAGCATTTGATGCACCAAACACGCTATGTATCCCCAATTTCAATGAAATTTGAAACGTGTGATAGATTTTATCTAAAAAAATTTATTTCCCAAATTATATTGAAATCGGTTCAGATTTGGATATAGCTCCCATATACATTTTCGGCCGATTTCATGTGATTGGTGGACCAAACAAGATATGTATGTCCAAATTTAATGAAATTTAAAATAAGTAACGGAATCGGGAGCAAAAATGAATTTTTCAAATTATATTGAAATCGGTTCAGATTTGGATATAGCTCCCATATATATTTTCGACCGATTTCATGTATTTGATGCACCAAACACGCTATGTATCTCTAATTTCAATGAAATTTGAAATGTGTAGCGGAAATTAAAACAAATATACATTTGTCAAATTATATTAAAATCGGTTCAGATTTGGATATAGCTCTTATATATATTTTCGACCGATTTCAAGTATTTTATGCACCATACACGATATGTATGTTCGATTTCCAAGAATTTTGGAATATGTAACGGGATTTTGATTAGAAAATAAATTAGTCAAATTATATTAAAATCGGTTCAGATTTGGATATAGCTCCCATATATATTATCCGCCGATTTCACATATTTGATGCACATTTGACAAATTATATTCAAATACGCTCAGATGTGATTATAGCTCCATATATATACTCAGCCGATTTCACATATTTGATGCACCCAAAGCGAGAGAGACAAAATCTGGCACCAGCAAAAATTGCACAATTATATTGAAATCACCAAATACGATATATATGACCGATTCCAATGAAATTCAGAATGTGTGGCGGAATTCTGTTATAATAATAAATGTGATAAATTAAATGGAAATTAGTTAAGATTTGGATATAGCTCCCATATATATATTCTCGGCCGATTTCACATATTTGACGCACCAATTTCAATTAAATATGAAAGGTGTAGCGGAGTTTGGTGTAAAAGTAATTTTTTTTTAAATTATATTTAAATCGGATCAGATTGGGATATGATTTTAATAAGAACCATTGACCCACAACGCCTTAGGCTAACACTAAAAAACAACACAACAATTTATTTGAAATACGCTTATTACGGCGAAGTATGTTGCTATCTCGAATTCACTGCTTGCAATAGAAATGCCACTCTACTTAAAAAAATTGCAGTTTCCTGCACGCTTGGTATTTGCTATGAAATAAATAAATCCAAAGGACAAACCCTTCGTGTATGCATGTCATGTTACTGCTTTTGTAATGATTTTGTTTATTAACGCATTAAATTAGTGCAATATTTTTTTTAATTTTTAAATTTGTTTTTCTTTATCCAACATATATTCGTAAATAAAATTTTGAATGCATATAAAATCAAAAGGGGTAGCGAAGCGCACCGGGTTCAGCTAGTTGCCTATAAAAAACATACGCACAAAGACATAATGCCCTGACCACCTTGTGGTACTCTACACCAAATAAAAGTTGCGCTGAGTTATGGTCGATTTTTCCATTTTTTACGAATAACGAGTAAAGGTAGTAGAAGAATTGCACTAGGAGAGCACAACTCAGCTCTCGATATTTGCATTTTTAAATCCATTACACCGATTTTTTTAAATTCTGTTTTTATACCCTACAACACTATGTGTTGGGGGTATTATAAGTGTGATTGGACCAAAAATTATGTAACACCTCGAAATATTGGTTTCCCATATAAGAAAGTATATATGGGTCTTCCTAACTCGCCGAGCTGAGTCGATCCAGCTATATATGTCCGTCCGTCCGTCTATCCGTCTGTCCATGTTAATTTGTAATCAAGTTACAGGTCGCAATTATGAACCGATCCTCACGAAATTGAAAATGGAGGTGGGGTTAGGGTCAGAATAGAACCCTATTGTTTTTGGAGATGATCGCACAATATTTAGGGGTTGAAATGGACCAAAAAAAAATTTGAAAATTTTCCTGATTTTGCAGTTGCTCTATAGGCCACAATTATGAACCAAAATTTACATGGAGTTAGAGTTTGGGGCTGGGCAGAAACCTACCAATTTAAGCGGCCATCGGACAATAATTAGTGGGTAAAATAGGCCCTAACTTTTATGTTAGAAAATAGGAAAATTTCCACTAAACTGCGAATATTTTTAATCTCAGCCAAATCACAAATACATTAAAAGATCACTTCTGACCATTACAGTGATGCTAATAGCCAAGAAATCTGATATATAGCAAAATAGGTACAATACATATGTAAAAGAATTGATCTTATTTATTCTGCTTATAAATCAAGAACCGCTGGGCCGATTTTCACAATTCCCATCAATTCGGAATGGTCTCTTGCCCGAAAAGGATAAAATCTATAAAAATAACAATAAAAAATTATATCATTGGTTTAATTATTTTTCATTTCTGTCATATTTTTTTATCGCATGCTATTTTTTTCAATTTGACTTACAATTTTGAATTGTACATTTTATACATTTTTACACCCGCCAACACTACGTTTTGAGGGTATTATATGCATGTCGCAATTATCGTCTAATCCTCGCGAAATTTTGCATGGGGATAGGGTGGGAATTGAAGCTTATTGTTCTAAGGATGTACATTAAGGGGTTTAAATTGCTAAAAAAATTTAAATTTTTCTAATCGACACGGAATTTTGCATCGAAAGAGAGTTGAGGACAGAGAACAAGTCTAGGAATTTGGATGACCATTGGATTATATTTAGCTGTAAAATGGACCACAACTTTCGTGTGCAATTGTTTTGAATACTTAACAACACTACGGATTGCGTATATATTGGCCAAATTTTCCGGGTCAAAAACCTAAGGGTAACCTCTGGGCAGGGCTCTTTGACATTATTTCAAAAACGAAATCTTCCAAAATGGATTTGGACATAAGGGGACTTCGAACAAATTGTAGTGTTGTAGGGTATCACATGGTCGGCCCCGTACATCTATAGCCTTTGCTTACTTGTTTTTTAATAAGATCCTTTTCGAAGTGATGTTATGCACTCTATAGCAATGTTATTTGGTATAAAAGATTAAAATCGATTCAGAATTGGATATGCCTTCCATATATTAGTTCCCTCTGAAAGCAAATTATAACTGCTCTAAAGCCAAATGTTGATAGGTGGTATGATCTACTTCAAATAAATTATTTTATTACGGGAGCTCTTCTAAATATGCAGAGCGATGTAGGGTATCATATAGTAGACTCCCGCCCGAATTTTGACTTTTCCTTACTGGTTTTAGCATGGACCTGTCATAGGAAGCAACTACTTTCAATACTGCCACCATAGGGCAATTCCAAGTCGATTGAACGATATCCGTCTATGTGTA